AGTCATGTCCAAGCTGCACCCAAATGAAATTTATGTCCTTTTTCCCACAGATTGAGCTTTCTTTTGATGGTATTTGATCACCTGCGCATTTTTTATTTTGTGCCCTATAAAGAAAAAAAGTGAACATTTTGAGAAAAAAACTAAATTTTGGACTTTTTGCTATTAAACATGTCCATTAAAAAAAAATTTAAAAATCCAATTTCGTCAATTGAGGCCAAAATGTATTCTGTTACTTGTCTGTGCTAAAAAAAAATCCCAATACATGTAAATTAATTGGTTTATGTGAAAGTTTTAGTGTTTACAAATGGTAGTATATATATTGGGATTTATTTTATTTTTTATTTTTACTAGTAATGGCCACGATCAGCGACTTATAGCGGGACTGCGGCGAGCATTCTGACACTGGGAGGAACTGACTTGGTGTTACTGACATCCCCAGTGAAACCAATACAGTGGTCAGTACTCATAAAAAGCAAGGACACTGTACTAATGGCACTGGGCAGGAAGGTGTTAACATGAGCCGCAGCCGTGAATGGCGGTGCGGGTAGGGCGCATGCCCCCTACCCAGAAATGTAAAATCACGTATATAAACGTGATTTTGCGCACCCTTACCGCCCTGCAGCAGTATTTCATTCAAATTTGCATACCCTGGCAGAAACAGTGAAATGTTGGCATTATTATTGAAAATATGACGGATCATGACAAAACATTGTCTTTTATTTAAGGATAGTGATCATATAAAGCCATTTATTATCACATAGTTGTTTCCTTTTTAAATCATAACGATAACAAAAATCACCCAAAATGCTCTGATCAAAAGTTTACATACCCTGGAATGTTTGGCCTTGGTACAGACACACACTTCTTAAAATGGCAATCAAAGGTTAACTTCCCACACCACTGCATGTACAGCCCTCAATGTTGCCCGGTCAATGGTGTCCCCAGTGCTGAGAAAATACAGGCAGATACCTATCCATCATGTCATACCATTAAGGAGGCATGTGATTGACCCCAAATTAATTCTACAGCAGGCCAATAACCCCAAACAAACAGCCAATGCCATTAAGAAATATCTTCAGTGTAAAGAAGAACAAAGAGTCCTGGAAATGATGGTTTGGCTACTACAAAATCCTGATCTCAGCATTAACGAGCCTGTCTGGAAATACATGAAGAGACAGAAGGATCTGAGGCATCCTACATCCACAGAAGATCTGTGGTTAGTTCTCCAAGATGTTTGGAATAACCTACCTGCCGAGTTCCTTCAAAAATTGTCTACAAGTGTACCTAGAAGAATTGATGATGTTTTGAAAGCAAAGGGTGGTCACGCCAAATATTGATTTGATTTTGATTTCTCTGTTCATTTCCTTTTTTTTCTTTACTCGATTTGTTAATTGATAAAAATAAATATTAACACTTCTATTTTTGAAAGCATTCTCAATTTACAGCATTTATTCACAACTGCCTAAAGCCTCATGCACACTGGACATTTTAGAAATGCCAGGAACGTTAATTGTAGAATGCCATGTTAAAAAACACCATTTTTGTCACTTTTTTAGTGTTTTTGCTTTAGCGTTTTTCAGTGTTTTTTAGCGTTTTTCAGTGTTTGCGTTGTTAGCATTTTTTAGCAAAACTATATTCCCACAAAAGCTTGAGGCTCAAAAAACATAAACGCCAGATAGCCCCGGCTTTTAGCGTTTTGCAGAATTAGAACGTGCTAGAGTTAGAGCATTTTTTTGCACAGTAATGTATGTTTGCTACATATGATTTAAAAACAATATTTGTTTCACACAGATGTACTTTTTGATCATTTTCTGAAACATTTACATATTTATCTATTATGAATGTTGAAAGAGTAGCCATCCAAAAAAAGCTGTATTCTTATTTCTGATGTCCAGTATGTTCTAAAATGTATTTATTGTTTATTAAATCCAAGACTGTAATTCCTCCTACCTGAGAGTTGTTGATGCTCTTAATTTCTATGACTCCTTTGTATCTCATGTTAAAGGAATATCCCTCTATTACAATAAACTTGGCAATAAAAGGTAAAAAGAACTTGGTAAAGAGTTTTCAAATCAGACACGGATGTTAGCTATCAGATCTATATATAAGACAGCCCAATTCACCAATCACTGGGAGCTCCTGCAAAAACTTCTGCATAGGTGGTACCTGACACCAAACTCTCTAATTAATCCTCTAGCTACTCCTTATTGATGGAGATCATGTGGCTCCATTGACTCTGTTGACTTTCTGTGCCAAATTTTTGGGTATTGCAAGTATCTACAAACATTTTGGAAGCAATTATTTAGGCTGCTCTCTGATGTCATAAACAAACCCTTCAAACCCTAGAATTAGATATGCTCCATCTCAATATAACTGCATTTTTTACACCTTCTAGAACAATCATTTTACATTTTTTACTCACAGCTAAATCTCATATAACAAGTAACTGGAATGTATCTGCCCTTCTCATTAGAGAAGTTAATTTGCTATGTTCATTCAAACTTATATTTGCATGCAAAAACACTCCTACACAAACTTCTACCATTTCTGGCAACAATCACCCTCTTTGTAGAACTAAATTTGAAGAGTCATTCTTGCATACGACAGATTGGCTACATCAGTAAAAGGTAGAGAATGAGTATAAGGACTACATTTTCAGAATAAATGCTAGTTCTTCTGGCTTGCATGGTATTTTGTTTATGGCTTCAATTTTATTTTAAAATAAACCAGTTTATGAAACTCATTTATGATTGCTGAAGCATTACTAAAGTACTGCAAGCTCCATTGTGTAACCAACCAGTATTCAATTTACTGAGGTTGGATAAATGAAAGATGTAATCTGATTGGCTGTTAAAGGTTACTGCATATTGTCCAATATACTTTCCATGTTTAAAATATCAGCAGAATGTCAGTTAGTGCACAGTTTTTAATGAAAACCAAGACTATGCTTGTTATAACCTTAGCTTTTGCCAATAGAGGCACTTTTAATATGGCAATTTACCAAGGAATTCACTATTGAACACAATGTCCCTCAGGACTAGGGCAACATTAAAGTCTAATATGCATATAATTATGATCTTATTGATATCTGGCACAGTGTTTCTTGGCTGGAACTTTTCACAAAAAAAGACTTTACAACGCTCTGTTGCCAAGTACAGTAATGTTGGAGCAATTAGTAAACATTTTAGAGAGAAGCTATTACTGAAAGAGAACACCGGGGATCAATACTCTGAAAACTACAGAGTTTAAATGAGGATGAACCTTGTTTGAGCCAATATTGCTCATACATCTAAAACTGCTGAATAGAACCTAAGACTGCATATCCCACATGGTAATAGTGTCTAATAATGTCTATTTAAAGTAAAACCAAAGACAAAACATTTTTTTCATATTGGATAAAGGGTGAATCTCCCTGACAGGAACAGAGACAACAAAAAAAAATAGACAGATGTTCTAATCCCTCTCCATTCTATGCAATACTAGAAAAAATACCTTTAGTTATACTTTAATATCACAAGTAGTGGCACTGATAGAAAAATGCTCATAACAGGAATAAAAACTATCATCACACAGTGAGGTTAGCCTAAAGCAGCTCATATGTGCAGCAAATTTCTTTCCTGAAACCATGGGTCCTCTTCTGGTGGAGTCTATCCCTTGCTATCAGCTGATCCCAGGTAGATTCCCCAGTGTGGGAATCTACCTGGAGAGCTGTGACCCCTACTGACCATTATTAGGTGATTCTAAAGCTAACTTCCCTACAGATTCTTGTTCCTTTATGTACTATCTCTTTTTTCCACATGCTTTCCTAAACTTGATATAAAAAACGCAGAGTGTTTTTCACTACCTCAATCAACTTCCCTGTTAGAAATAATTTCTTTTTATATGACCATACTATATCCATTTCTTTGAGTTCATTGGAATTGATTATACTCTCATTAAAATCTCACTTTCAGGCAGTACTATCTTCTGTCATCTCCAACATCATAACATTTTGTGCATCCATTTTTATCAACTGTATTATACTACTAATATGCTAGAACATGTCTTCATTCATTCTTTCATGGTTTAAACTTTAGAAGTCTACCAATGAACTGGCTGGCCTGGCACCACACCTAATTTTGCTGAATCCTGATGCCTGACCCACCAACTTCTGTTCTAGCTTCTCTAATGCTTCTCTTCTCTGTCAGTCCCTCCACTGGCTGCCATTGACACACAGAATTCAGTTCAAACTTCTGGCTCTGCAAGGCTTTCTCCAGTCTAGCTCTTCCATACTCTTTTTGCCAATTTTCAGATACTATACCAAGAATAATCTCCACTCTCTATTTTCATAATTTCATTACAGTCTTGCCTCCAAGTCTTCTCGGAAGCCTTTCTACTTCCCTTGAACTCCCTTCCACATGTCACTCAGCACTCTGTGATCCTTTAAACCTCTTAAAACTCATATCTTCAGACAAGTGAGCTAAGTCTCTTCATTGGAGAGCTCTGTTTCCTCCTCTGCTATCTTACAAGAGTTTATAACTGTACTTGATTATGCTTCTGATGACCCACACTCTGAGGATTGGCATCAGCAGCCTCCTAACACATAGAAAAGGTGTGAGAGTTTCTGTGCTCACAAAAAAGACAGCATTACAGGTGCAGCATTATTGTATTATCATGCTATTCACCTAATGTAGTCAACTCCCTTTTAGGCCTGCCACTCTAAAGGTACTCCCTTGCATATATCAGTATTATGTAACAGAAAATTAACAGTTACAAGCCAGTACCAACAGAGGTGTTCTAGCATAAATGTCTCATATATTATGTAAACTGGCAGCTGAGTAGTTCTCAAATGGTTAATTGGCAAAATCTTCTTACCATCTGCCCTTAAAATTAAATAGCCACATAAGGTCTTTAGCGAAGGCCAAATCCAAAGGAATTAAGACTTGCTCTTATAATACGAAGGAAAATAGATCACTTCTTCAGGAAAGGCATGTCAGTAGCCAGAGAAGATTGTTACCTACCCTGGTGGTGATGGCTTGTCCTTCCTTCACCTTAACAGCAAGTCCCAAGTCAGAAAGACGGCAGTTGCCATTGTCATCTAGAAGAACATTTTCTGGCTTCATATCCCGGTAAAGGATTTTAAGAGAGTGAAGATGCAGGATGCCACAGCAAATCTGTGCTGAATAAAACATCACCCTCTTAGTCTCTAGTCCTTTTTCTCCTACATTGTAGATATGAAATTTGAGGTCTCCACCATTCATAATGGTCATCACTAGGCACAAGTGAGTTTTAGACTCATATGCATAGGCCAAAGAGACAATGAAGGGGCTGTGAACCTTCTCAAGGATCTCCTTCTCCAGCAAGGCCATTTTCTCCCCCATTTTTCTTCTTGAGACGTTTCTTGTCCAGTTTTTTACAAGCATACATCTGACCTGTGTTCTTCACTTGTATAGCACACACCTGCAAACACACAAGAACAATGTTTGAAGGACTTCAAATATACAGAATTCTGCCATATCTATCTATCTATCTATCTATCTATCTATCTATCTATCTATCTATCATACCAGCCTTCCTCCAGCAGGGTTAGGATACTTCTAACTTACCACCAATGTAAAGGGGTGATTTTCCAGTAACCATAAATGAAAAAGGGGATTTCTCCATCAACCATCTATGACCATCACAGTCATTTTCCATATCACCTACATAATTTTAGGATAAATACTAGGTACAGCTCTTGTTCTTAGCCAGGCTACTTGCAATCAGATCTCCAGTATTGCCAAAGCATAACTCACAACCCAGAACACATAAATAATATTTGCAGTGTTAGTGGCCACCTACCTGTTTCTATGTTATATGCAGTTGTAAATTTGACTCTCATCCAGTGTGACTTCTATGGTACTTACCTGGCAACATATGAGGCCCAACACCAATAGGGGTGTTTATAATAAGTGGCAAAACTACCACTGAGCACTAAGTTTCACCAAACTGAACATGACCTACATTTTGGTAATCATTATTAAGTGTGAGGCCAACAGAAGGCTACTTATGCTCAGGAATGGCATGCACAGGCTATCAATAATACAAACCGTGATAGGAATTGAAACAGATTCTTTGGAGTTCCTTTGGATAAAAAGAGTTTGGACTGGAAACCCATTAGGACACCACCTTTTACAGCATTGTTAAGTTTTGATCCTTGCCATATTTTTCCTCTGTCTGTCCCACATGCATCAGTCATCTGCCTTGCCAACAAAACTAATCCACCCACATCCAGCACCTACTAAGTTCCTAATTTGCCAGCACTGTCTCGCATGCACACTCTGGTAGTGAGAGCCCTTTCTTAATTTTTCTTTCTATTATGAAAAGTCTAATCTGACCCTCTTATCCGTTGGGTCCACTTGCCACATCAAAGGATTCACAGTCATACCTACATTGGTACCTACAGGGTGTTCACCACACAGAATGATATGTTTTCATACCATATGGAGATACTGCAATGGCCAGATTTCACAGCAAAAGTGTTTTGTGCTCTAAATGTGAACTTTTGCATTTATATACATACGTTTTGAAGCCAGTATTGTTATGTAGGCAATCATATAATTTTTTTTATATTGTACTAAACAGAGACAAGGAAGATAAAAGAAGATAAAGCACTATGTGGGAATTCTTCTTTTACATGGTCTAAACTGGAGGAGCAAAAGGGGAGAAGAAGAGATAGGAGATTGACCCCCCTAGGACGAGGGGGATATCCGTATCCATCCACCTAGCCCTTACAGCTCAGAAGAATCTGGGAGGCCACCAGTGACGAATCACACTTCTCTGTCTAGCAATCTAATGGACGTGTCTGGGTTTGGCAGTTGCCAGGAGAACAGTACTTGCCTGACTGCACTGTGCCAAGTGTAAGTTTGGTGGAGAGGGGATTATGGTGTCGGGTTGTTTTTCAGGGGTTGGGCTTGGCCCCTTAGTTCCAGTGAAGGGAACTCTTAAGGCGTCAGCATATCAAGTCATTTTGGACAATTCCACGCTCCCAACTTTGGTGAAACTGTTTGGGGATGGCCTCTTTCTGTTCCAACATGACTGTGCACCAGGACACAAAGATGAGCAAGTTTGGGGTGGAGGAGCTTGATTGGCCTGCACAGTGTCCTGACCTCAACCCGAAAGAACACCTTTGGAATGAATAAGAGCAGAGACTGAAAGCCAGGACTTCTTGTCCGCTATCAGTGCCTGATATCACAACTTGGCTTCTTGGAGAATGGTCAAACATTCCCATAGACACACTCCTAAACCTTGTGGACAGCTTTTACAGAAGAGTTAAAGCTGTTATAGCGTGGGCCAATTCAATTTTGAACCCTATGAACTAAGACTGGGATGCTATTAATGTTCATGTGCGTGTAAAGGCAGGCATCCCAATACTTTTGGCAAAATAGTGTATATAAGCACTTTATGGACAGGAGTGACATCTGTGCCCAGCATATTATGTATTTTTGGAGGTCAAGGTGCATCTCTAGGAGTACAAAGCACATGCACATATACCTCTACTCTCTAAAATAAAGTGAATGGTTCATTTACTCTCTTGGCCTCCAAAACTCTGCTCTCTCCTGGTTCTCCTCCTACCTATTGCAGCACTCCTTCAGCTTTACCTATAACTCTGTCTCCTCCTCTCCACTTCCTCTTTCTGTAGGGGTCCCTCAAGGTTCTCTCTTTGTACCCCTTTTCCTTTTTCATCTACACCTCCTCCCTTGGTCACTTAATCAACTCCCATGGCTTTAAGTACCACCTCTATGCTGATGACAAACAAATCTATCTTTCTGCTCCTCACCTCATCCCTTCAGTCTCCTCTCGCATTACTAAACTACTAAGTGACATATCGGCATGGATGTCACTCCACTTCCTTAAACTAAATCTTTTCAAAACAGAGCTCATACTATTCCCTCCAGCCCGTGCCCCCTCCCCTAACTTCTCCATCAAGATCAATAACACAACCATCAGTTCCTTCCCTCATGCCAGGGTACTAGGTGTAATCCTAGACTCCCATCTGTCCTTTCAGCCCCAAATTCAATCACTGTCCAAATCTTGTAGACTTCACCTCCGCAACATCTCCAAGATACACCCATTCCTAACCTCGGAAACCACCGAGCAACTTATTCACTCCCTTGTTATCTCTCGCCTTGACTATTGTAACTCCCTCCTAATTGGCCTACCTCATCGCAGGCTAAACCCTCTTCTGTCTATCATGAATGCTCCTGCCAGACTCATGCACCTTACTAACTATTCCATATCTGCCATCCCTCTCTGCCAATCCCTCCACTGGCTTCCCACTGCCCAACGAATAAAATTCAAAACATTAACAATAACATATAAAGCCATTTATAACTCTGCCCCAAATTACATCACCAATCTTGTCTCCAAATATCACCCAAACTGTCCTCTCCGGTCCTCCAACGACCTCCTACTCTGTAGCTCCCTTGTCTCCTCCTCCCATGCTTATCTCCAGGACTTCTCCAGAGCCTCGCCCATCCTCTGGAACTGTCTACCACAATCTATCTGACTATTGCCTACTCTGCCCACTTTTAGACAATCTCTTGAAATCCTATCTCTTCAGGGAAGTCTATCCCACCTTCAGCTAATAACAGAATCTTCTATTCCTCCTATCAGTTCATTCCCCACAGTTATTACCTTTTGTACCACCAGCCCTTCCCTCTTAAATTGTATGCTCCAAGGAGCAGGGCTCTCCTAACCCTCTTGTATTGAACTGTATTGTTGTTGTATTGTCTCCCTTTATATTGTAAAGCACTGAGCAAACTGTTAGAGCTATATAAATCCTATAAAATAATAATAATATACTCTGAAAGGTGTGGATATATATAGAGGGATGCATGTCAAACCTATTATGCCTCAATAGTGCTGGGGCAGCACACAAGCCTGAGATAGAGTTTAGGGACATAGGGAAGGAAGTGTTTCTCTGTTCTCTATAATATTGAGAATGTTTCCAGTAAAGCTTTCAAGGTTTGCCTTCTGCCTTCTTGTCTGAAGTTATTAAAGGAGTGTAATGCAAGTAACTGACACCATACCTAGTCTCCAGCTCTGGGTCAACAGCACATTGGAGTACGAAGACAGCAATCTATTACCAGGGGTAACGGAAGCCAACAGACAGTCAAGCAGCCTGTTGTTAAGCGTGTGCCTATGTTGAACAGGACAGCCTCTTGCAGCAAGGGAGATGTTGTCGCCACTCTCTCCGTGAGCGGTCCTTCTCCCATAACAACAGGAAAAGACCAGCACCGCTGAGGTTCCCATCCCAGGTAGAGGTACTGAATGTCAAGAGTTAAGCCACTGCATGCATGGAGTCTGTGCTAGGTGCATTACGGGGCTTCATTCCATTACTGGCAGTGAGATAGCAGAGATACGCTGGACAGGTGGAGAGGGCATCGTCTCTGTGTATCCCTCCTAAATGTAACAAGTGAAGTAATGGTGTATATTAACATCAAGAGAGTCTACTAGAGTTCAATCATCTGATTAAGTAAAGGTACCCCATGTGTGAGGCTAGTGACCCTGTTCAAGGTGTCTAGTGTAGCCCAGAAGAACCCACCCCAGCATAGGCCTTCCATGTGACCCACACTTGTTGCCCAATGAGGAGTGGAACATGGAGGGTGTATCACCCACCTGCCCTACATATACTTGTATTAAAATGTATTCTCTTCTCTTTGTAATGCTTTCATTGTGTGATATCCCCTGGTGCTCCTTCTAGTCCCTCTGCTTTCCTAATAAAAATGACCAGAACAGGCAGTTGAGCACAGTGTGGTCAGTTTTTTTTAGCCTGCTCTCCTCCAAGGAACAGACTTCTGTTGACACCCCCCCTCCCTGCACAGCCATTCATTGGGAACCTCAGTGTGCTGCTGTTTCCCCTCCCCTAGCTCATTATGCAGCTGAGAACAGAGGGTATGTGACAGTGTAATTTGACGTTTGTGGGTTCTAATGAAAAAGTTGACCTTGGGTCCCCCCACTACCACCTGCCACTTCCACCATGCCCCAAGATTCTTCAAGTGGCTAAAAAGTTATTTCAGATCTTTATCTAAATAATGAGAGGATAATTCAAAAGATGTTGGAGAAACTGTCCACATTTTGACATATTTTTCCAATTCTTTTTAATACCCTGGATCAGGGATGGGCGATCTTTGAGAGGTGGAGATCTACCTGAACAACATGAAAGAGACCAAAGATCACTGGGCTTTTGGTGCTTTTTGTTTTTAAAAGAAATAATTAGCAAGGCCTATCTAAATAGTAAGGAAAACTTAGTAAAACATAATGAAACAAATGTCACAGCAAAAAATATAAACTTTGCATACCTTAAAAATGGACAGTGTCAGTCAGTAGAGCAGTGGACAGTGTCAGAAAAGCAGTGGATGTGTCAGTAGGGCAGTGGTTG